ATACCAACATACTACAACTGAACATATAGATTTATTCCACTATAAGTACGTACATATAGGCTCTATTCAATTTTTATAGAACGACTCAGTGGCGGCGGCACAGAAGGAGAAAGGGGGCGGTCGTCCCCTAGAAACAAACAAGTTGAAACCCTCTGTGTCAGCAACATTTGCCCTTAAAATGCATGGAATAGTGTTTCAGAGGATCAAGATTTCAACATTTTAAGAGGGAGCATGCCCCCGGAAGGGTAAGTTTATTTATTTATTTATTTATTTATTTATTTATTTATTTATTTATTTATTTATTTATTTATTTATTTATTTATTTATTTATTTATTTATTTATTTATTTATTTATTTATTTATTTATTTATTTATTTATTTATTTATTTATTTATTTATTTATTTATTTATTTATTTTATTTATTTATTTATTTAATTTATTTATTTAATTTATTTAATTTATCTGTTGTTGGTCTTAGGTGTTCTAGATCACAATAAAAGCAAATTTTTTTAATGTGTCACCGAGCAGAGTTCCAAGATAATGAGATATTATTTTGCCAATGGTTAAAGGCCTTGAAACAGACAAAACATTCCATACCATGTATTTCTTACATTTATATCTATATGTCAATTTTTGATTTATTGTAATTCGTTTATTATAAACAGACCATATACGTATGTCATGGCAATTAATTACAAACTTTGGAACAATACTTTAAATTATCAATTGTTATTTATAATGTCTTTTCAATTATTTATTTACTTATATTCATATGTTGTTGATCTCTATCCCTTATTTATAATAATTTCAAACCCACTTTTTTGTTAACAAAACATGTTTTGACATGATATCAACAGATGACATAATAACTACTATGATGTTGAAATATTCAATGTTCGGCATTTTGCGAGAAGATATTTAAATTGCACAAATCGTGTGTCATTCATTGCTGGTGAACTTTGTTTTTCTGCGTTTTATTAATCTGCGTTCTTGTATTCATCAGTCAAACCATGGGAGACGAAACTGTATTTTGCGTTTCAGTGACACATACACAAATCAATGCATTTTGCCGAGGTCATAAACGAGACTTCTCGGTAAAAATCATACACGGGATCGTGAAAGGTGTATATGTACAACGAACTCGCGAAACCGTGCACTGATTCAGGTGACGAGTAACGTGAAGCACGTTTGAACCATGTGTACCTCACTTCTAGCAATGTTCCTGATCATAATATGAGACCAAGATGGCGCACCCATTATTTGAGCAGAAATCGAGCCAGTGTTTGTACAGCAGAGAGAGTATTTGTGTTCTACAAGAATTACACGAATAACAATGTATTTGTAAAAAATGGTCAAAAGCGTATGACAATGCTCAATGACAAAAATAACGTAAAAGTAAGCAGTGAATTACAAATTTAAATTAAACAAAAATACACTATTCAGCCACCATGGCATCGATATTTATGTTAGAAAAATACCCAGCTTTCCGGAAATGTTTGAAACTTCACTTTAAGTAGTCTTAATTAATATGGCTTTATCAAAATTGAAATCGCACACAACTTTGAATTACTACATCATTTCAGACATGAACGTTTCTTTAAATGGTTGATTAGTTATCCTCAGACTATCTAAAACGCGGGTAATAAGCAAATAAATCCAATGTGTAAATTATGAGTTGACCCCTTGAAAACAGACATTGTTCATGATTGGCAGGTTGGTGACTGATTCAATAACCTTTCTATTCAATGCTTATTTGTGCGACTTGTGCAGTACAGCAATTATACTACCCCCTCTACGGTAAGTTTTATTATACGTTATTATATACAGGGTCCAAATTCGTTCTCGAGATGACATCATAATACAGAAATATAAAGAACAATTGTATTCAAGTGTTGTCTCTGAAGTAACTACGTTGTGTCAACACCAGTAGATTTGTCAGGCAACAAAAATGTTGTTTTGTGGATCTCTGACTTCTTTCGCAGTTATTGTCCGTCACAACACATACAATATAACTTATAACACAGGTAGGTAGCACAGCACTCTTAAATTATTATTTTTGACACTCTGGCTGACTATCATGATTGATATAGCTTTCTCTCGCGTTTACGACATTGAGTTTTTATATTAATGCAATAATAGTATTATCAATTTCCCCATAATTATCGTATTGCCTTATTTACGCAGTATAATGTTATAATTAATTTCAGATTAATAATTGAAACAGTATAATTAAAACAAATAATTGAATGACTGCGTTAGCCGCTCCGCGTCGTGTTCGATATGGCGACTTATGCACCACCAGTTTACACGAAATTCGAACACGAGCTGCGCAACGACGACCACCCTTTACTAAAATGACATTATAAAAATAACATTATGACGTAATCTGCTATATGCGCTAACCAAGTAATGGACGAATTCATTAGTTACAAAGCCGTCATCGCTGCGCGCAATCATAATCATGCTCGTCGTGGACTATAGCATTTGATGTGTCTTGCGCCGTCACCCTCCCTCTCGTGTTCTACTTGTATATTTTCTAAAGGTAAAGTACTTTACGCAATTCTCAAATCTGTGAGCATTATTACACTTTAACTTTAAACAATGAACCATCACGCAAGTTTGCGTTCTTAACTATTATTGTTATTTACTTGCCGACAATAATTATTCCATGTTGTAGTTTCTAAGATGCCAATATCGGAAATGTACGTTTATAAAAACAAAGTAAACAATATTAGTTGAACGTAATCGCAATCGCAGTCGTTGTTATAGTAGTTGTATTTAATCTAAATTCCCAATATCCCATTATGGCATCTTGTTTTGACCATGAAGATATGGATCACATGTTTAAGGTCACAATATATATTTTTGATCTTCATAGTGTTGACATCATGCGTGCTGGTACCAGTATGCTTATTTACATAAATGCATAACAGTGAAAGACATAAAGCCGGGGGTGTTAGAAACGTTTTATAAATATAAAAATGACTGGTAAAATTCAAATTCTGAATTCAAATCCAATAACGACATGACGACATCATCGTGTTTCTAATAAAATGTATAACTTAGTTCAAAACCCATTCATTTTGAATAAGTGTGCGATCGCAGTTGCTAGGCCATTTGAAGGCTGTTGATCGGTATTTACGAATTGTTATAAATATGTTTATAAACTAAGGTACTGTAAGAGCTTTCTGTGGCAATTTGTGCTTCTAAATTATATGACCATTTTTTTCCATCCGGGAACGCACGATTAGCCTGCAACGAAACGATCTAGACACGTTTTTAAGTAAATATTACGGGATCTGGAACTAGTATTTTACCATTTAGATTACACCAAACTCTAACATACAACAACGTAGTCGAAATTTTATTTGGTTTTATCGTGATAAATTAGCCTAAGATGAGGCTGCCTACAGCATTGTCATTTTTTCCAACGAAGATGGAAGACCAATACAATTACAGAAAGTAGAAAAACCTGAATTTATGATAAGATAGAATTATATTAACTGCATTAAATTATCTTGATATGAAGATGAGAGGAGGGAGGGGCATTGTTACAGATTACGCTTACCTTTTTATACTGGCGGGCTTTGTTTTACATATTTCACCAGTTGTCCAGAATTTATAACAAATCAATTTATATATCTACGACAATATCAGTTCTAAACTGTAATTTTTTTAAATGTGTCCTAAGACATGTTATATGTTTTCAATACATACAATATTAGATAATAATTTGTTATGTTGCCATAGTCTTATATTTTATGCGTGGTTTCTTGTTTACAGTTTGCATCTATAAAAACGACACATTAACGAAAATTGTCAATTTTTACCATCCACAAGTCTCCATTAATTAAGATATTAATTCTAACGATAGGATATACTGTATAATGCAGTTTAAAACAATCGGAGTCACAAAGTTTTATTGAACTGGAGATTAAGTTGTAGACATCTCGCATATTTTTTAATTATTTTGTCCTGTGTACACAGTAATAGTGTTTTTGTAGGTTTACGAATATTACCTATACAGCAATTCATTTTTTCGATGAAGTGGAATATAATTAATTTTGACATTTGCTAAATACCCTTGTGGTTACTCAACATAATCACTGAAATATGATTTCTATACAGGAGTCGATTACTAGGGTGCGTTTGAGTGTGTTTTAATATGTTCATCATGGACGGAATTTTGTGATATTTTGAAAATAATGACCAAGTAACGAAGAACTTTGAAATGATCTAAACAAATGTATGCACTAATCATATATATAACTTGGGTGAAATTTCTAACGTTTCCTAATTTTTTCCCATGTTTCAGACATCGTTACGCAATTTAATGTAAGGTCATTGAACGTCCTTGGGCAATATAAAAACAAAGTTTAATGTTTGATCCAATCAAATCTATATATACATTAGTGAAAAAAAAATAAACGTTGATAATATAATTGTTTAATTGTGATTATCTGCTTTACAGTAGCCTTCGAATGTGCGCAACGCCTACCTTTTATTTAAAATTAGTCAAACAGTCACATTACAAATTTGTAAAAAATCGAACAATTACCACAATAGTCTACGCTTGGGGTATGTATTAACTGATATGGTTAATATAAACTTCCCGGCATTTCTTGTCATTTTAAAATAATGGCTCCCCGTATTACATACAATTAATACATGTATAGGTATAGAGGTATGAATAACGGGGGATACCGAGGAATTATATATAAATGTCATCTCATGAAATAAACATAACTTTTCTGTTGTGTATTATCTTCACTTTGTTTTGTTTCTATATTTTTTCTAGGTACATCTATAAAGTTTTGTTTCATGTCAGGTGTGGTTCATTTCGTTAATATTGCAGCTGAAATAAACATGGCCCATAAATTGGATACAGTAGTGATTGCGTTAATCATATTTCATAAACTATTCACGTTTGAATGTGTTCATGGTGAGTTCACCTTTTCTTATTTCATCAATATTTGCTTCGATTTTAAAAGCATCGTATATCAGCATGTTATTTTGAGTATGTGGTTTTCTTACGGCACATATATATTGACAAGAACTGTCTGTTAATTAGTATTTTGTCAAACACTTTTAAAAATTGTATTGTATGCCTTGAATAAGATTAAGAATATCTGCAATCTAGACTGAGAGTATGGTGTTTCTATGACTATATGAGTACATTATTTCACGTTTTGCGTCTATACATATTCTACCTTTCCGTCAGGCAAACAGCCCAAGGGAGTGTCACTTGTTGAAGATTTACTGGAAGATTATCACAGTTATCTGCGCCCAGTTGTTAATTCGTCATCCGTTGTCATGGTTACACATGGCATAGCAATATGTCAAATGCTTGAACTGGTAGGAAGATATATTTATTCGGTTGTACGTTTATGCCCCGGGTTTATGAGACCTGTGTTTCAGAGAATATAGGCCAGTGATAGAGCCAAGGACTATGCAGACAGAGTTAGCCGTTTTTAAAAGACAACAAATACTAGTTAAATTTGTATTTGTGTTATAATACCGCCACCACTTTGTGTTTGACGGAGAAAGTCTAAATGTTATATGGAAATTAGTGTGAACAATTGGGCATTTCGAGATAGACTTATTAATTAGAGTATTCTCTATACGATTATTTATGTCAGCGGTCATATAGATTTGAAAACTTTCAGGTAAAGACACTCACAATTAGTATGCGAGATATATTAGGGAAATGTTGCTTCTTCTTTTGTGTTTTTACAAGATATATCATAGGTTATGGAAGCTAAATATGATATAATAAAATTCATGACCTAAATTATCATTTATTAAACATTTGATGTAGTACATTCACTCATGGCTTGGGATATCATCCATATATTATTGTTACACTGCAGAATCGCACATTACAGCTTTATTTGTTTATTGTCAGAACGAAAGAAAACAACAGCTGTCTTTAAACGTATGGTTGCGATTGGTTAGTGGTCTTATGATACCCTTTTCAAGAATAATAATTTCTACAAATTCCTGATATGACCCCTTTACTTATTGTCTAATATGATCATTTTTGTATAAGTGTATACTGTATCTGATTTGTCTAGAAAAATGGCCCATACTTATATACGAAACGATCTGATCCGATCACTACTCATCTACTGCTTATCTGAAAGTTGCACCTCCACGTCTACCTGGCATGACGTATATGGTCAAAATTGTATGCATAACTTGTTTAATATCTGAGTAATGGTGGTGAACCCGTACACCATCTTGTACGTGCAGTATTGTGACGTAATGAACGTTTAAAACCGTCGTAATAAGTGAGTGGCGTTAATGCGCATGCGTAGAACTCGACATTAGCTACCTAGCTCATTATTTTGAATTCTGTAATCAATAAAGTCAGTCAAGTGAGTGGCGGGATTTTCAGTTTAGAGTACGTATGCCCTTGCACAAACTACTGGTGATATTACCCAGATATGAAATCCACTACGGCAACGTAATCTAGATATAGACATGGTACCAAAAGGTTGCTTGACTAACCAGAGAATTATTATATAAATCGGTAAATATTCTAGAAATGGACTGACGAGTTCTTGAGATGGAATGCGTCAGAATATGGAAACACAGAGATAGTCAGAATACCATCAGAGCTCATCTGGCGTCCAGATTTGCGACTTTACAACAAGTAAGTCTACTACCATACCGTTTCCTTGATATCGCCCTGGAAAAGAAATTGAGCAACAACCATTACTAATTTTGGTATTAATTCATTCTATTTTGTTCATTTATTAGTGAACTTTCAAATTAATCGGGTAAGCTTCAATAGAAAAAGTGCATGGAAGGGAGGCATGAAGCCTGGAAAGAAATCTGTCAAAATATTCTATGAAAATCGGATAAAAAGCATTCTTCAAAAAACATCATTTCGACCGGAGAATGGCTTGGACAAAACAAAACAGTACAAATGACAAATATAAAAATCGTGAAACTTTGGCCGGTTTAGAAGATCCGAGAGTACTGGCGTCACACTACTACCAGGGTAGTCCCCCCCCTTTGTTTTAGATGTCATTATTATTCATTATATATTGTTCATTCTTAATCATGTTTTATTCTCAGTGTGGACGAGGAGTTTGATCGTATCGATAAGACGTATGCGATGGTAAGCAGCAATGGTTACATAGCTTGGAACGCGCCAGCAATATTCACATGCTCCTGTCGTATCGACGTCACACACTTTCCGTTTGACACGCAAGTCTGTGAATTAAACTTTAGGCTCGTGGTCATATGATGGCCACGCTCGTGACCTCCGTAGTGATTTGGATGCCGCAGATCTGTCTCAATTTATGCGAAACGGAGAATGGGATTTAGTCGATTCGCCCGCCGCACAAATGCTGCACAGCGCCATATCCTGTGATCACATACACAGTGGTGTTTAAACGAAATCCTGAACTTCTATATCAGGAATCTTTTGATGCCAAATATAATGATATCCGTGCTCACTCTCGTCGGTTTTTATTTACCACCTGAGTCCGGGGAGAAGATGACGCTTATGGTCACTAATTTGCTATCGTTGGTAGTATTTCAACAGGTGGTGACCCAGAATCTGCCCGCTACGTCGGATGATCCAATCATAGGTGAGCTTTTGTTTTTAAATAATATTGTATTTGATATAGAAGCAGTATTTACCCCGTTTTGCGGTTTTTATTATCTGGAAAGAACAAAAAACCCGACGCACAGTGGTGTTTCGAATTCTGCTTCGACTGCACGCGAAACACAATAACAATAACCTAAAAGTTTGGCCTGCGCATAGAATAAATGAATATTTGAATTAACTTGTTTTATGTAAACAATGTGGCAAAGAACGTAATTAAAACTAATTGTAAGAATTTTGCGAACATTTCACACCTATGTTAACGTTGGTTGCCCTGTTTGTTTCAGCCCAATTTATTAATGGAATGATAATTATGGTGGCGCTGTCGGTCTTTCTAACTGTGGTAATCCTGAATATTTACCATCGTGGAACGAGTTATGTACCTCAATGGCTGGGAAGAGTGGTCTTCGGTTTTTTGGCACCTGTGGTATGTCTTGGCTGGAAAAAGAAGGTGAGCGAGAAACACTCAAAAACGCAAAGTCCTATATCAGATGGATGTGACCTTAAATACGGAAATTGTCAAGAACACGGTGGGGTCAGTTTTGTCAATTTTCAAAGTCAAATCGAGGAGAGAGGCTGTCTAGCTGGGAACGGCTCGATTGTGATCGGTAACCTCAGACAAATTAAAGAATCAATGACGAGAAGCCAAGACCTAAATAAATCAGCACAATCAAGCGAAGTTCTGGTAGAAATTCTTCGAAGAATCTCGGAACTTACAAATGAAGTAAAGGAGAAGCGTCATCATCATAACCTAGTCTGCGAATGGCAGGAAATTGCGAAAGTGATTGATCGGACATTTCTGTGGTTGTTTGTGGGATATTAAATAATTTTCACTGTCGTGATGTATTATCATATGATGGGGAAAATATGATTATGACTCGTCATTAATGATCATGATGTCCGTGCTTATGGTTCATATTCACGTTCAAATAATGTCAAAATTCACATTTATTTCGTGTGACATCATATTGTACATGAAACTGTATGTTGTCATTCTTTTAATATTTTTTTGGTATTTCAAAAACAAAATAGCATACATAGATACATTACAGTTAGATATACATTACAAAATACACACTCCAGGACTTTCCACAAAAAAACAAGAAAAGCATGGATAAACACCCATTTTAGTGAAAATCGCATGAACAAGGTCTTTTCAAGTGAAATCATGTCTCTTCGCTTTCCAAAGAATATTGATAGGTAATCAGTAAAAGGAAGTAAAGGCTTGATTATTTGAATACAGAAAATATTTGGTTAAGTCAAATGATTCAACTAAAGCGTGTGAATTAAAATATCAAAAGTTGATCCCCTAGCCTTGTTTACAAAAGTCCAGAAATTCTTGTCAAAAAAGCTTCATTACTTTGCACCCCCACCTAAGCAGTTCTAAAGTATTCTTTTTCTGACAAGGATTACTTTTGACCCTTCTTAACTTAATTCTAAATAGATATCTGTTAGTTGTTAGAATATAGATAGTTGTTAGGTGAAACACTGTTAACTTAAAACTTTTTTTTCTATTGGTACTTAATTATTCAACATTATTTTGTTGCTGGTAAAATAGATTGCAAAATCTCATGATACTTTTATGTATTTTATATTACTACTGTTTTTGAAATACGTTTTTAATACTCGAAATAGCTCACAGAATTTACAGATGTTTGCCACGTGATGAAGGTTACATCTGACATTATTTGTCAACAGATTGTTGATGTGCCGAAAAAGAACCATCATTTTCAGTAGATCATTCATATAAATAATCCCACCACACAGCCAATTTATGAAGCATATCAAATATCTAGAGTCTAATATTGTCTCAGTATTCTTTATTTATTTCATGCTGTGATCACCATCATAACAATTTCTGTTGTGTTATTATTCCTAATGTGATATCTTATTGCCTCAAATAAAGTCGTGACTCCAGTTGACTGAATCGAAAAACATACATTTCATGTATGTATAGAGTAAATCTGAAACACCGAATGACTTTACCATCACGATTTGACATTGATAGTAAGGTCACGTGCATTTCACAAGACCCCTGTCCAATATCACTAATTACAATGAATTTAACATTACATTCTTCTATACGCTTGTCTGGTTTTCATGAATTGAATAGGGCAACACTTTACGAAGGCGCTTGGTAATACACCTATCTATTTTATAATCGGTAATTATAAAAGTGACGCGCTCAACTGTTATATTTTTTTGGTTTTTCGTAATGGTTTAACTATAGCTTGTGTTTCAAAGGAATTTTACATTCAAACGCAATTGAATGATAGGGTGCATTTTATGTGAATAGACAGCTCCATTTTACGTGAGATTAAGATGCATTTTATTTGGACAACCAGATGAGATTTATCTTGGCCAATCACAAATATGAGAATCCTGTGGCATTACAACTCACAAAAACCACCATGTTTGATTCACTATAAAAACAAATAAATTAGTAAATTAAAAAAAAAACACGTTTCAAGGATGAGAATGTCCTCAAATACATCTCAATACTAATGTTCGGCATACATTAGTTTGGTGTTGATTATGCTCTGTCTAACCAACCCAATCTTATCTTCAAGTCCAAAGACATATATATATACATGTATATATTTTATTCCAAGTCCAGAAACACAAAAGAAACGCCTGATAGCAATAGACAAAAGAAATTCACACAAACAAAACAAAATAACAAATACTACAATACATATAAACGAGTGGGCACATCTTGCTCCACACGTGGAACCTGCCATTTATCATTCTGATTCATGTATAGGACCTAGGTCCCCATCAGAAAAGTGACATTATCAAGAGGCAGCCATTGCAAATACGCATAAAACAGATAAAGTCACTGTGTATTATTCGAACCACTATCTTGAATGAACTGCTGAAATAGTCATATTACATTTAATATAAAATGCTGCTCTTCAGATCATTATTTATGCACATTGTATTTATTTGCATATTATTTAAAAAAAAAAATTTAATACCATTTAGTTTGTAGTCTGCTACGCTATTCAAATCTTTTATCCCAAAAGTTTCACATGTCATAATCAACATTTTTCTCAGAATAAATATCATAATTACTTTCGTCGGTGAATGCTATAAATAAATATTCTAATTTGTTTATTTAATTTGCGTATAATCGTTCGCTTTCGTAATGTATGACATAGCAGATAAAATGTTGTGTGTTAGACTTATACAGAATCAGACCGTGCTTGTTTTCATTATTTCTTTTGTAAAAGTAATTTTCCATAGTAACATTATTGTGCACAATATGACACAAACTAATAAATTGAGTCAACAACAACAATGAATGCTTAAAATGCTAATTAATAATCAAATAACACACATATTATCGTCATAATGGCTTATTTAAAGAAATTTAATTTGAAATAAATATTTATTCGTTACACATTTCTAAATCCAAAAAAGTCTAAAACCTATCTAGTTTAAAATGAATGGTGAGAAGACATTACTGTTTAAATCGATATACTTTCAATTGAAATTCTGAACCGTAGAAATCGACAACCATTTTCATTCAGATTTTTAGGATTGTCTTTTTAATGTCACTTGCAAATGCAACCCAATTACAACGAAATTGGAGCAATGTGGCGGTCGCGTTTACATTCAGTTTACAGATGCAGCGTGATGCTTACAAATGCAATCATACTCAACTCGTTTTACGGTTGTCATTGAGTATATTTTTACGGATCGATGGGTTAGATAAATAATGATCTACATCTGACTGATACTATGCAAATTACCATACCATGACTCACTTCTTCAAATCATTATTTTTTAATTATCGGTCCTTGATAGTCTTGTTATAAGTTTCTAATAATTATGGTTTACCCAAATACCACAGTCAGAGTTCGTTTGTTGCTGATTTCTTAGTTGAACGGCTTAGGGGAGTGTTATTTGGAACTATTTCCGTTATGATTAGGTTACCCGAATCGTCTTTTATTCAAATTTTCTTAAATTTACTTTTCTTCCATGCTGAGTTTGTCACAACTTGCATAATAGTATAATTTAAATACGTCTCTGATGCATGTCTCGTCCGAATATAACCGAAAAAGAAATATTAGAATTTAATTTAATGGTTGTCAAAAAACTTGATGCTATGTAGTGAGTATTATGTTACAACATACATATCAGAGTAATCAGAATTGTTAAAAAGGCAGTGGTAACCACGAATAATAAAAATCGGTCGACAATTCTAGCGAGCTCTTTCCATTCCAATAACATGGCTTCACGATTGTCGCATTCATTCAATCTATTGGCTAAATCTGTCACGTGATTCAGTAAAGTCTCAAGGTTCTTTGCAGTACGGAAGGTGGGATTCCGCTGTCGATACGCAGGGTACTGTTTCAGTTCTTGTTCGTCCACTTTTACGAATTTGTTTGGAGTCACATCTATGGTAGTTTCTTCTTCTAATGAGTTTTGCGACTCGTCATTCATGCAAAAGTTCGGATTTTCTGTGACCGCTATCGGGTCCGGGACCATGGTTCGACAAGCACGATTTGCCTTCTCCACCCCCATACACAGACACGGTCGCATGAAGTCAAAGACGACACGACGAGCCCAGTTAGGTACCGGCCGTGGATAGCTGGTATGATGATAAATCGATAGTACCCAGACACTCAAGCAGCATGAACAGGCATTCAGGAAAATCATCATCGCGAAGTAATAAGCTATAAACATAAACATTTCGTAACATTTTGTTAATAATTAGTTAGATTGGAAATTTGTTACACAATATCAATAATTCCACACATTAAGATGTTGACATTTAATAATACTTGAA